TTTTAATCATTGGCTTCACTGGGGTCCGGACCCTGAAGAGTGGAATCAAACATTGTTCACAACAAAGGTAACTTTCACTACCAAAGCCTCGGTTTGTTATTACCGCCCCCCTGTAGGGACTCAATCTATTTTGCTGGGAAATACTACACTCTGCAAGAAGGTGATTCCTTTGGAAGGAGGATGTATGAAATGTGTAAAAAGCATTACTGGTAAGAACAACTGCATAAATCGGATATCTTCTACGTTATCCCGGACTTTGAAAGGTCCCTATGACTGTTGTATAAATCAAACAGTCACTAAGAGGCCTGACATTGGTCACGGAGCATATGTTCTCTGTACTTGGATGTGGCTAATGTGGAGTTGGGAAAGTCAAGCCTCTGACAATACCTATCATAAGCATTTAAAATACTTTCCTCTTCCGGATGGGTTATGGTTGCTATGTGGGGACACTGCCTATCAACAATGGCCAAAGGATTGGTCTGGAGTGTGTATTATAGGATTTGTAATTCCTGTCATCTATAAATTAGAGGGTTTACCAATTGGGATGCGTATTCGAAATCGAGAAGTTGATTCTGGCCTGACTGTGGGTGGTAATTTGTGGACTCAGATTTCTAGGGCAGCAATCCCACCTTTGGGAATAGCTATGAACTATGAAGATATTCATATTTTAAATAATTTTACTGTTGCTATGTTTAATGATACGGTTAAGAATATTAAGATGTTAAATGAAGAAGTGTCTGAAATTCGCCAAGTTACTTTACAAAATCGTTATGCTTTAGACATAATGTTAGCTGCTAAAGGAGGAGTTTGTGCTTTAATTCATTCACATTGTTGTGTTTTTATATATAATTATGAGCCTAACATTACAAGAACTGTTCATGATATGGAAGACCGCATAGCTGAACACGAAGCAGGAAAAGATGGCTTCAATAAGTCACTTTGGGCTTTGCTATGGGATTGGCTTCCTGACAGCTCATGGTTACGTTTATTGCTTCAATTAGTTGTAATAATTGTTATTATACTTATTATGTTATGTTGCTGTATTCAATGTTCAATCTATTTCAAATGTGTACCTCAGCTTTTCAGCGTACGAAACCAAGTCGCGAGGGAACTGTGTATTATGCCACTAAAACACCCCCTATCTTTGAATAAATAAAAAAGGAGGGAATGTGGTAATATATCTTATTCATCATATTCTGTAAGTCTTTCGTACAGCTAATGCATAGATCTAGGGATTTTACAAACACTCCTCATGGGGGCAGTATTGCCTTTATGATGGGTGTTTGGTCCTGTTTGGGTCTGCAAAGCTTAGAGAGACCAGGTATATCGGTGAAAGTTCATAGTACATAGCCGAGCCATTCCCGTGGGACTTTCCGTGTTTAGATATTCTCATGGGACTTTTCGCAGCCCTGCTGAGGTAATGCTGCTGAGGTAATGTTGAGGTCATTGTTTTGATTTTGTACTTGCATTTGCTTTCTCAATAAAAGCTGGTACCTGGGTTCTCTCAGGGCTGGCATTTGCTCAGACGGTTCCCTGCGTCTCATTTCAAGTGCCAGACCACCACATTGTGTTCCTTCATATATGTCCAGATCTGGGAGTGCTGCTCTTTGAGCTGGACAGCCAATTCATGTTCGTGTACTCTGGTCTATAACCACTTAGCCATTTCCCCTACACAGTTGCTTGCACAGTTATTACAGTTGATATGGTAAACCACTGAAGATGCATGTTCTTTGGGTAATGTTTTTTTGGGGTGCACCACTCTCATTCTCAACGTTTGATCTGATTTGTGCACCACCTTGACCCCATGCATCAAGAGAATGCATGCATTCTCCTCCACGCAGATGTTCCACTAGCACCTTCAATAGGTTGTCGGGCACTAGGTGCAATACATCTTTGAATAAAGTCCATAGAATAACCATTGAGCTTACAGACTTGATAGAGGTATGCCTGCTCTTTGGCTTTGGCTATCAGTGTGCTACAATGGGTATCTATTCTATTGAACAGTGCCTGATTACAACTGACTTTTTGCACAGTGGGGTGATTACTCTCATTGTGCAAAATATGGTCTGTGCTCATGATTTTTCGATGTACAGCTGTGTTAAGGCTCCTGTCTGGGTTACAGCTGACTAGTACATCCAGAAAGGCCAGCGTGTTATTGGCCTCTTCTTCCATCGTGAATTGAATGTCTGGGTATATGGAATTGAGGATTTTCATAAACCTGGTTTTATCTTGCTGTTTAATAATGACAAATGTGTCATGGACATAACATGCCCCAAAATCGGGCTTGTATATTTTTATTGTCTCATATTCTGATTTCTGGAGGACTGCCTCTGTGATCACCCCTGAGATCGGAGATCCTAAAGGTGTATCTGTTCATATGTATGGCTGTTAAATGTAAAATAGGTTCTAAGGCAGAAATTCAACAGGAAGAGGAGATAGTTTGTGCTAGGGGATTTGGTGTTTCGTGACTCCTTCTCCAATAATAGTTCTTTTAAAATTAGTTCTTTTAAACTCCTGGGAGATGGATGTAAACAGTGATACGACATCAACTGACACCATTGTTTTATCCTCCCCAACTTCCACTCTCTCCAACCATTGTAGAAAGTCGGTGGAAGATTTCATGTTGGTAGTGGTGCCTTCAATCAGACGTTGTAGCTGTCCATATAACTATTTGGCTGAACCAAATGTGGGAGTGCCACAAAGGGAGACAATGGGGCACAAGGGTACCTCTGTCTTGTGGATCTTTGGTAATCCAAAGAATCATGCTATGGCTGAGTCTTTTGGTCAAATCATTTTTAGATTCTTTTCATTCACTTTTCCCTGTCTTTTGAGTTTATTGGCTATCTTGTTAATTTGGTTCTTGAAAGATAACATGGGATCTTATCCAGGAGTCAATAGGTGCTCTTGTCATTGAGGAGGTCATAGACCTTCTTATTATAATTTGTTCTGTCCATGACTAATGTTGCCCTACCCTTATCAGCTGGCAGTATAACAATGGAATTGTCTTTTCTCAATTCCTGGAGGGCCAACATTTCAGATTTTGATAAGGTGACACTGTGCTTATGGCTAGTAATGAGTCCTATCAGCTGTTGTCTAATGGAATTTTTCACCTCTTCAGTAACCTCTAATTGAGAAATCATTGACTCGAGGGCTGTAGCAAAATCGACCAATTTGCCATCAGTTAAATTAAAACTGGCATATCGAACTGCTACCAGTCTACCAAGCATTGAGGTATCAAGCAAGATCCTGCAAGAAGAGCAGAGACTGCTTCCCATCACGAGCAAAGCAACAAATGAATCTAGTGGACAAAACAAAGGGGCCTTTAAGACGGAAGTCCATTGGGATGTGGGAGGGAACTAGAGAGAATGCTGTCAAAGAATGCTGCACACAACAGCCATTGGTTAATATCTCCTTAATGGTAGTTTTACCCTCTAAATGATGGTAATTTTCATTAGCAGAGACTAACGAAAGCTTAGTGAACAATATAAATTTTTAGTTCCAGAGAACTTTTTTTTCAGTTTTATCTGGAACTCTCTCTCTCTCTCACACACACACACACACATATATGAATAGATATATATATACATGTTAATCAATGGTGGCTTAACCCCTATTGCTTCCTCCCCTATCGCGCCCCGCTTAGGCTGCTCATCCCCAGGAAATGGTGCTGAACTGTCAGCTATTACTTTGGTGGCATTCTCTCCAGCCACTTCCCATCCCCCCTCCCCTTTTGGGCATGTAGATTTGTCCTGCAGAGGTTTAGCCTGTCTGGGCCGAATACAGAGGAGCCTAGCAGAGTTGCCTCAAGCCACAATAGACATGGACATAGAAACAAGCCAGGCTGGTTACAAGATCATGGCCAAAACAACAAATGAATCTGGTTGATACATCAAATGTGCCTGTGTGGTGGAGGTCCATTGGTGTGAGGGAGAGGGCCACAGAGAATGCTGTCAAAGTAATAGCTGACAGTTCAGCACCATTTCCTGGGGATGAGCAGCCTAAGTGGGGCACGACAGAGGAGGAAGCAATAGGAGTTAAGCTCCCATCAATTAACATGTCTGAAGTAAAAAGTTCCAGAGATTGTGATGTCTCTCTCTCTCTCTCTCTCCATCCATCTATACCTATACCTATACCTTTATCTATCTATCTACCTATCTATCATTTATCTATCTATCTATCTACCTACCTATCATCTATCTATCTATCACTATCTATCATCTATCTATCTATCTATCTATCTATCTATCTATCTATCTATCTATC